GTCCGTCGCCGGTGAACTCTATATGTCCGTCCGTTGCCGGCGAACTCTATCTATCCGTCCGTCGCCGGCGAACTCTATCTATCCGTCCGTCGCCGGCGAACTCTATATGTTCGTCCGTCGCCGGCGAACTCTATTTGTCCGTCCGTCGCCGGCAAACTCTAGCTGTCCGTTCGTCGCCGGCGAACTCTAGCTGTCCGTCCGTCGCCGGCGAACTCTAGCTGTCCGTCCGTCGCCAGCGAACTCTACCTGTCCGCTCGTCGTTTCCAAACTCTACTCGTCGGTCCGTCGTTGGCGAACTTGACTCACACGAAAGCCACATCTTCGGCTCTCTTCCACACTCGCAAACAAAGTCTCGCCTCCGATCGACGATAACGCTAGTGCTATCAATACTATGACTTCCCTCCATTCAACAACAATCTGCAAATAAAATACATCAATCTTTTGTAGACTATAAAAGTTTATGTGCTATGGATTCAATGAGTCATCAACAAAGATGATTGAGGTAGTGGGAGTTGTAGTGAACATAACTCATCTATGAATCAGTCTTGCAGAGATCAAATCGAAGGGATGACAACATACTTACAACCAAACAATAACATATAGTTCCCTTGGGAATATTGGAGATCTTCAAGCCAATCATAATATAGATGTCTATGGGGTTGTGGAAGACCTTTTATACACACCACATGCTATATGTAGGCAAACACTAAAGGATACACAACAAATCAAATATAAATCCCTACGAGATGTCGTAGAAGACCAGTTGCACTCCTAGTGTGTCAACAACAAGCAAAATTCCGAAGGACAACAACAAATGCAATATCCTACGAGTCACTGTAGGAAACTCGTCGTACACATAATACACTGTTTATAAGCAGATGCGAAAGAAATGTAGTAAACAAGCCACTGTAACATGTGTAAAAGCAGACATAAGGCGTTTGTAGGCCCTTAAAAGAAATCTCGGGCATTTGCTAAATGAAATCACTTGCGCAATGGATTATATTTAAATATGTTAAAATTCCCCTTATGTATTAAATATGACTCCTTAAACTAAAGTGCAACAAAAACCCTGCATGTGCTCCGGTCAATGCGTTGAAGTTACAAACACCAATGTTCGAGAATGCTGCACAGGGTTAAATGCTACAACCCACATGTGGTCCAATCGTCATATATAAGTCCCAAATCCAACGATATGAGAATGCTGTGCGGGTCAAATATTCGAGTTTCATCCTCCTAAAAAGGAATGGAGTTGACCTGACTTGAATAATAAAATGCCCCCTAAATACTCTTATGGGCCCCGACGAACGTGTTATGAAAACACATGTGACTTCTAAGGATGCTGTGCAGGTCAACAAATAAATTCAAATATGAAACCGATCCTCTGTCGGCAAGTCGACAGAGTCGAAAAGGTTCAATTAGCAATGCAAATACCCACAAAAACACAAGTGAATTTAACGTCACCTTGATGATGATCGTGTTGACAGAAAATTTCAACTGGAGGGGTTAAATCTCAAATCTAACAAAATTCTAAATCCTTGAAATGAAATCTTGCACTTAAGAACTTAAAACTAAAACTATCTACCTCTCGCAACCGTTTGTCGGAGGTGATAAATTTGAAATTAACCTCAGCTCACAAAGAGTGAATGTATGTCGGGTGTATTACTACTATTTATTCTCAAATAGTCTTTTGCTACCAAGGACGTGACACGTGCCCTCTGATTTGGATGTTTTGCCGCAAAATGACACCATCATATTGATCACGACCAAATCCCATTTGTTCCCTAACGGCGTCAAACCCTTGAGTGATGAATCATAGGGTATATTCGATGGGCATAAAGTCCTCTGTCAGCTAAGGTGGATTCGGATATATCCCCTTAGTCAAACATCAACCCATGTCTACAAGGTATTATTGGACAATGCAACCCATGGCTGCCTATAACGATAAGGTACCTTTTGTCAGGTTGGGTCGACTACCTCCTATGACTAAGTAGACCAGTGAATATGATATCCTAGGACGACGAAACCATGGGATCTTGATCGGGCTCGTCTTCATTCCCCCCACCACAAGTTTTAAGTTTATGGTGATAAACTCTAAATTCTAAACTTCAAAATCCAAATTCAAAATTCAAACCCTAAGACTGTTGCTATTATACGATAGGTTCATAACCTATGTGACCGCTTGAATAACTAGCATTAATCAAAAGTTATCTCTTGTTATCAGGAGGGGTAATTAACTATAGGGGCTTGCGCCTATAAGAAACTAGAACTCAGATAAAAAAGTCCTCACAAAATGAGGGCAAAATCTTTGGGTTGTGTCTTATCTAAAACATAATATGCCTTCTGAAAATTCACCCGGAACCTAATCTCGTTAAAATTCTTTGCCGTCATCGAAAACACTCAAAAGAAAAAAAGACCGATGGTACGGAGCAATGTTTAAAATTGCGTATTCGGGTATTGAGGCGTTTTTCATTCGTGAGGCGAGGCGTAAGCCTCAAGGCGTTTTGAGGCGTAAATCAATTGAGAATATCTTTCCCAATTTTTCAAGTTTTTACGTTTAAATCAATTTTTATAACAAAACTTCTTATTTTTTATCTTTTCTTACACATTTTGATTCCGCCCCAACTATTTTTACTATTATGAGTTTTTTCTTTTGATACTGCAAGTACATTCTTTACACTATTCTTAATATCATTATATACTTTTTTTCCATATAACAATAACTTCCTTGTGTGCAGTCAAAATCTTAAAATCTTAAATCTTACTCTCAAAGATTTTTTTGTTATTGTTATTTAGATGACCCAATCTAATCTTAGAACAATATTTTACTTTATTTTTTATATTTTGCTCTTTCATCTTAAAGTCAAAACTAATAAGGGATGTTGGGTACATATATTTTCATTCGGAATAAATTTACAATCTATGTAGTCTAAATAATCTATTTTTCTTATAAGAAAATAATCAATTAGAGTTTTACTATGTCCATTCTTATAAGTGATGATATGCTCATCTCTTTTTTTAAATAAGGTGTTAACAATAAATCATAAGCTAGAAAAAATTTAATATAGTCCTACCACCCTCATTAGTTACTCTAAATCCATAAAAATCATGAATGCTTTTAAAATCTTTTACCTCTCTACCAACATGTTTGTTTAAATCTCCTCCAATAAAAGCACTTTGTTCAAAAGATATCATTTGTATTAATTCTTCTAAATCATTCGAAAGTTTTAATTTTGAATAAATATCAAAACTTATTTGAGTATAAACACTTATGATATTAATAATTTTAGCATCAACAATAATCTTTAAAATTATAATTTTATCTCAAATTCTATTAATTTCTATAATATTATCCTTCAAACTCTTATCTATAATTACACTTACCCCATTTCTAGTATGACTCTTACCTGTATACCATAGTTTAAATCCTAAACTATCAATCTCCTTAGTCTTCTCTCTAACTCATTTAATTTCTTGAATGTATAGACTATTTATTTTCCTATGAATCATAATATATATTAGTTCCATTAATTTTCTTGTAAGATAACTTATATTCCAAGGTTCTATCCTAATTTTATTTTTATGGACTAGATTCTTTGCCCATATCTATCCGTGATATGGGAACCCTTGCTTATTTAACAATGTACCTGAGCACCTGGACAACAGCCCTGGCACACTCTTCACTGTATTTAGGCCATACAACATGTCTCTTACTCGCTTCTAGGGAGCGCCCTAGCATTAACATAATGTATTAAAAGATTCATGTTATGATTATTCGACAAGTTTTACGCTGGTTGTCGACTACCTAACGCAACCCTCCACTCTTCTTATCCAGGACTTAAGACTTGACAATTGTCATATTAGATCTCAAATTAATGTGAAGTTTTTTTTTTTTGGGAAGTGAAGCTTTAATCATTAAAAAAAAAATTGTATGCACAAACTCGTCAATGGCATTGAAATTATGTTCACAACCCTCTTTCCTCCCGTTAATGTTCAGAATTATGTTAAAGCCACCAGCTCTAATCCACAGTCAGCCACTATTATAGATATTTTGTATTTTTGTAGATCTTTCAATAGTTTTTTCTCGTAGTTCTCAAGCCACTTGCATACACGAAAGTCCCCATGGTCTACAATTCAGCACTTGAGATATTCACATTATTAAGTTGAACAGTATCAGCCAAGAAAGTGCAGGAAATACCCTTTTTGAGAATACCTGAATCTTGATTGTTTTGTTAACGAATGTTTCATAAAATTCCAAATATTTCCAGAAAAAACACCGTCCTTCTATGTTTCAATGATAGGTTCCAAGATAGCTAAAGGTTGCAAGTTATTCATCTTAACACGCTTCTTTAATCTTCAGTTAGGTCCCATATTACAGATGCATCTAATATTCCAAATCATTGCATCAATCATTTATGGTATGGTAGAAGGGTGTTTTTTGCTTTAGTTCTGGTTAGCCTTACCTGATGGGAGGTAATCATTATTCTTTGCCTTTGATATCCTAAATTGTGCAAAATAGTTTTAACTCAAGCAATGCTCAGTTGAAATGAAAAGTAAATAAGGACTCCTAAGGTTGTTCCCAAATAGTTGCTGATAAGACTAATAAGGATGGTAATGGTATTAGAATATGTTTGTAAAAATTGAATGTTAAACTAGATATTCCCGAATCTGGAACCAAAGCCTAATTGATCGACTGTTTCCTATAACATAGCGATTTGGTTGATGAGTTTGTTTGGAGTTCCCAAATAAAGGTGGATATCTTGCTGTTCACTCCTTGCATTCCATCCTGTATTTGCCCCTTGTTTTCTCCTTGCATTCCATGTATTCTCCGCTCCCTCCCCTATCATTTTTTTTTCTGTATTGCATGCATGTTAAGGAGAGGTTTTGCACCGAGTCATATTAGATATTTACTATTTTCGGCATGTGTTATATTTTAGGATCCTTGTGATTATTATGGTTTCCTGATTGCCAACATGTGATATTAAATTATCTTCCTTATGCAGGTTTTTCATAAATCACATTTGCTTAAGTTGCGTGTGGCACCATCCGAGACTGCAATGAATGATGTTCTTAGGGAGGTGAGTAATTTATTTTATGATTGCTTACGTGGATTTTATGCATATGTTTACAGTGATATGAAGAATATATGATACTGGCTGATGTTAGTGTAGGATAAAGGTAAATTGAAGATTTGCATCATGAGCTCATTGCATGATAGAGAAGGGTAGAGAAAAGAAGAGGGGGGTGGGGTTGTATTTGAGGGATTGAGGAAAATTATTGGGTTCTCCTCTTATATGTCAACTGTAGAAAAGAAGTATGAAAATCAATCGGACTTTATTCATGAACTTGTAATAATTTTGAGGAAAATTAATGGGCATGATTTGGTTATGAGTACTACAATCTTTTTAATGTTGACTCCAATTTAATTTTTTATTATGGTGACAAAAGTTGTAGGAATGTGATTGATATCGAAATTTTATTTTTTCAGACATCCTCATGTCATATGAGTATAATTATCAATTAGTATTATAAATCCTTTGGCTTTGGAGATGTTAGGGATTTTTAGGGTCCCCAATTATCGTAGTGGATAAATAAGAAGGGATTAGATGATCTTGATTCACTTAAAGGAAATAGGAACTCTATGATGTTTAGTAATTTCACAAGCTTCATAATCAAAATTTTAAATGTCTACATCTTTGTATAATGGAATCATGAATTTTAGAACCTACAACAGCAAATGCCCTAACCGATAATGATGATCCCAAATATAATCTTTAGCTGAGCTAAAGGACTTGAAGGAGAGAGATGAGTGATACCATATAGAAAGTAAAGGAATAGCTGAAAAACTTGATTCCTTCATCATACATACGGAGAATTTATACATAGAGCTTCCTGGTTTATACTAGGAACAGTCATGATAATCAAAATTTGAAAGCATTCCTTACTCTCTTTGCGATCGGCATCTGCTAGTAATGCTTCAATTAAAGGGATGCAGCTTTCTTTTTATGCTGTCAATTTCTGCTGCAATCCAGGAGACATTGCTTTCCATTTCAGCTGTCCGCAATCGCCATCCTTGTTGCAATAATGCAATATTGCAATTTGTGGGATATGCCCTTCTAATTTCTAATTATGTTGTTTATTTTTGTTTTATTCTTCCACAAGCACCTTCTAGTTGCTCTCCTTTGGAATGTGCGTTTGAATCTTTAACATAACTTAATAGGGAGCATACAATATCTGACTATGGTTTATGGAGATGTTTGAAATTTAATTATTTTTAAAAGACTATGGCAGAGAATGTCATAAATTGTATGATTTATAATGTAATTAAACGTTCTATATAATCCAATTTAGATAGCTTTTACGATTTTGTTGGTATGAAGTTTTGCAGATCATGGAGTTCGTCTTTGATTGGAATTATCTGGCTCTCACTATGTATGATTGTTGGCTCTCTTGCAGAAAAGACTGATTTCTCATACATGGATAATGGAGCAAACCATAATTAAGAAATTAGGCTGAAAAGTAGTTTGGAATTTGAAACTCTTACCCGAGGCTCTGATACCATGTAGAAAGTAGAGGAATAATTGAAAAACTTGATTCATTTATCATACATACAAGGATAATATATACATAGAGCTGCCTAGTTTATATTTGGAACTTATATGATTCTTGGAACAGTCATGATAACCAAAATTTAAAAACATTCCTTCTCTCTGTGCTTGGCATCTGCTAGCAATGCTTCAATACAGCTTTCTTTTCATGCTGTCAATTCCTGCTGCAATCGATGAGACATCCCTTTTCACTTCAGCAGTTCGCACTCACCATCCTTGTTGCAATCAGTGGGATTTGCCCTTCTGATTTGTAATTTTTCTGTATTGGTACCCCAGCACCTTCCAGCTACCGTCCTTTGGTATTGGTCCCCCAGCACCTTCCAGTTACCCTCCTTTGGAATGTGCATTTGAATCTTCAACACAACATAAATAGGGAGCATACAACTTCTGATTATGGTTTATGGGCATATTTGAAATTTAATTATTTTTAAAAAAGAAAGGGATTAAGAATGCTTATATTCAAGTCATTAGGGATGTGTTACTTGTGTTCAAACACAAGGTGGTTTGACCAAGAATTTTCCAATTTCAGTTGGTTTACATCAAGGATCAGCCTTAAGCCCATATCTTTTTGCTTTAGTCATGGGTGTTCTTACTAGAGATTTGCAAGAGGATGTTCCTTGGTGTATGCTTTTTCCTAACGGTATTCTTCTTGTTGATAAGACTAAAAGAGGGAGTTGAAGGTAAACTTGAATTATGGAGGTCAACCTTAGAGTCTAAACGTTTTCGTTTGAGAATATTAGAAATTAATGATCTTTCTTTATTATATCTAAATGAGAATTTGACTCTTAACCAGACACAATGGAGAAAAAGGATTCATGTAGCCGACTCTACATAGTGGGATAGAGGCTTGATGTTATTGTTGTTGTATTGTAGAGAATGACATAAATTGTATGATTTCTAATGAGAAAATAATCAAAATGGTCCCTGAACTCTTTAGGAATGACCAAAATGATTCCCAATTATCTTGAGGGACCATTTTGATCCCTTAACTCTTTAAAATGGGATTATTTGGTTCCCAACATCCAAAATAATGGATGTTGGACTTAATGGTTTTAAAATTAAGGGCATTTTAGTAATTATTTGACTAAACTATTTATTAGATATAGTTTTTAAATAATTTTAATTTAAAAATATTAATCTTTTGTTTAATAAAAAAAGTATTAGTATTTTTAATTATAATTTTAAAAATTTTAGTTATATTTTATAATTTTCAAGTAAATATTTATTATATAACCATAACTTTAAATTATAGTTTTTATTAAATAATAGTTCAATATTAATTTTAGTCACAAATATATTTACCAATCATAATTTATAAAAGATGACTAAATTTTTAAAATTATAACTAAAAATACTATTACTATTATTAAAGAAATGATTGATAAATTTATTTTGAAAAATTATAATTACTTGGAAATTATATATAATAAATAATTAAAAAAAAAAAACTAAATACCCCTAATTTTAACACCATTTAGTCAAACATCCATCATTTTGGATGTTGGGACCAATGATCTCATCGTAAAGAGTTGAGAAACTATTTTGGTCTTTTTCTCGATTTCTAATACAATCAATAATTGGCTTAACAAAGCATTGTGACCATCAAAGTTAAAGTTGTCTATGGTTTTGTTTTACTTGTTTTTGCAGTCGATGATTAATTTCCTGTTAAATTGTGTCATGTCATTGTTTTTTTTTTTCCTTAATTGTTTCAGGTTTCAATCATGAAAATGTTGGGCCATCCCAATATAGTAAATCTTATTGAGGTGATTAATGATCCACTGTCAGATCACTTCTACATGGGTATTCACTGGTTTTTTATTTATTTTTCATGTTTTATGTGCTATTGTGCTTAAATAATTTTTTTTTTTCCTGGGGACAAGCTTAAGTTAGATGTCTCTGATATTAAGTCGTGATCGTTACTTATTAATGGTTTTATATCTCATTTCCAGTCCTAGAGTATGTGGAAGGTAAGTTGGTATGTGAAGGTTCTGGTCCAGGTGGCATTGGAGAAAGTAAATCTAGAAGATACTTGAGAGATGTCGTTGCTGGTCTCCTGTATCTCCACGCTCATGTAATAAGTAAATCTTTTATTTTAGAAAAGAATTTCAGCAAATTTTAACCAGCATATAGTATCATATAGCCTTTTCTAAATTATCATATTTATAAATTTCAATTATCTTTCTTTCTTTGTTGTGCCCATCTGAAATGCTTTAAACTAGTTTAGTCTTGTATCTTGGTTCTTTGAACTTTAATCCCGAATTCACTGTTGTTGATAGCCTCCTACAGAAGACCAATGTTGGTTACTTAATGTTTTGTTTTCTGCTAATTTATTCATGTAATAAGTAAATCATTTATTTTAGAAAAGAATTTCAGCAAATTTTAACCAGCATATAGTATCATATAGCCTTTTCTAAATCATCATATTTATAAATTTCAATTATGTTTCTTTCTTTGTTGTGCCCATCTGAAATGCTTTAAACTAATTTAGTCTTGTATCTTGGTTCTTTGAACTTTAATCCCGAATTCACTGTTGTTGATAGCCTCCTACAGAAGACCAATGTTGGTTACTTAATGTTTTGTTTTCTGCTAATTTAGTTTGTACTTTCACCACCCGTCTCTTTGTTGGAATCATATGCCATCAATTGCAGCAATTGGATGGTGCGCATTCACAAGGATCAATTATTGTTTTGCATCTATTTCCATTTCTTTCTTTGTATCCTGGTTGCACTGTACTAATATTTCTTCTGCATGATACCACTTCAAATGTGGCATTATAAACTTTCTCCAGTCATAAGTAGCATCATCCTACTAAGAGGTTCAGCATACAAGTTATTGCTTGATGAGAATATAGTACTTACTATTGTGTAATAAATATATCAAACTTCTACTATAATTGGTTTTGATTTAGGTGCACAAGACAAATCGCCCAAAATCAATTCGGAAGTAGTTCTCATGTAAAGTTTATTAATATAATTCCCCATATAGTTTCATTCTAAATTTAAGTACATTCTGAATTAGCTGACATTAGTTATTTAACTCTACTATTATAAATACATGATGTGCAATTCAGATTAACCTTGTTAGAAATATGCCAAGTCATCTAGGGACATGCATCAACCGTGATTAATCTACCATTTTTTTTTATCGATGATTTAGGGGGATGGCTTTCTTATTGCTTCTCAAAGCAGCTTTTTAGTACAATTTTTAAAAAAAAATTAAAAGTTGCTTTAAGAAGCAGCAAAAAAGCTGTCCCAAATGAAGCCTTAATGCGCTTTCTATTTTGCTGTTTTATGCATGATATGCTCTTAGCTTTGTTTGCTCATATGATGTTCTTATTATTACCGATGTCCATGTAATTAATTTCATTTACCAAATCTGTAGAATATTGTCCATGGGGATATTAAGCCTGATAACCTTTTGATAACCAGCACTGGGCTAGTGAAGATTGGAGATTTCAGTGTCAGCCAAGTTTTTGAGGTAAGCTTGTAATAATCTTTAATTAGACTGTTAAATTTCTAGTGCAACACATTACATGATGCTAATTTTACCGTGATAAATAAAAATATTCATACGAAGTGGGACAACTAGTGTAGGCTTGCTTCCATTTGTATTTCAAGGGGATGACCCGTGCATCATAGAGGTTGTTTCATACAACCATGACTCTTAGGTTGCATGGAGGAACCCAACTATTGTTGGTCCCTGACCCACCCTATCGTACGTATAGAATGAAGCATATAAAGTTAATATTTGCATATTAATCATGCCCTAAGCATAATATTTAATAAAATAACGTTCCATAGACTTTGCAATTGGAGGGAACCTTCTGGAATGTCTATGCCTTAAATTTGGCTTCAGATTGTTCCTAGCAAATGGTACCTAAGAAAAACAGATCCTTGATTACTTTTAATTGATAGTGGTATTAGTTTCATTGTGGGAATTATTAACTATTCATAAGGATTATTTATTTAATAGCACTACCTGATTCAAAATAACTATCTTCCTTATTTATCCCTTTTTTAAACACAACCTGAAATTAATGGTTCCGGAATAATTTTTTGGAGATATATAGTTTTCAGTTCCTATATTTATTATACACCTGCAATTTTTTTGATCACATGCTAGCAAATTTGACAGCATCAACTGATAGGAAGATTGTTGGCTTTGCAGGATGATAATGATGAACTCCGAAGATCTCCTGGAACTCCTGTCTTTACTGCTCCAGAGTGTTGTTTAGGTAAAGGGAGCCTTGAATTAGGCTTCGTTTGGGACGGCTTTCTTGTTGCTTCTTAAAGCAGTTTTTTAGTTAAAAAAATTTAATTATTGAACTAAAAAGTTATTTTAGAAGCAGCAAGAAAGCCGTCCCACTTAATCCCAAAAACATGGCTGTGCAAGGAAGAATCCTGCATGCAGCAGGCATAACTGCCAACGTTTTTTCCTTGCAGGCTTAACCTATCATGGGAGAGCTGCTGACACATGGGCTCTAGGTGTCACTCTATATTGCATGGTTGTAGGTCACTATCCATTCCTTGGAGAGACACTGCAGGAAACTTATGACAAGGTCAGAAATCCTTTCATTTTCTGCAAAGCCATTAGTAAGAATATAAGGTCCATTACCTGACTTATTTCATTTTTCTCTTAGATCGTTAACAACCCATTGTTCTTACCTGACGACATAAATCCGCAGCTTAGAAACTTGCTCGAACGTCTTCTCTGCAAAGGTACTGAGTCTCTGCAAATGCAGTTTTCTCCTCACCTATGATTTCTCATCAGTCTTTTGCTACTGCAGATCCCAAGCACCGAATTACCTTGCCTGCAGTGGCTGAGCATCCTTGGGTTGTTGAAGAGGATGGGCCTATACCGGAGTACCCGTGCCGGCACAAAAATTTAGTCAAATTATCTTCCTAAGCTTATTTTTTTGAAAAATGTGAGCAATGAATCTCATTCAGGATTTGTTTGGCACAGATTTTTTCCTGCTTCTAAAAACAACTTTTTAGTATAAAAATTAAATTTTTTGTACAAGAAAGCTACTTTTAGAAGCAGTAAAAAAACCGTCCCAAACAAAACCTCATTGCTTCTGACCGTTATGATCGCTGATGGAGAGGCTTTTGTGTTTATTGCAGAACTTAATGGATTACTTGGAGAGGTGACGATGAGTGTTGGTAATAACTAGCAAGAATTGTTCAGTTCACAGACCTTCTGCCTTGTTCTGCTGTGAATTAGCGTTGTGTTGTTTCTCTCTCTTTTTTTTGTTTTTTATATTAATTTTAAGAGAGAATGTTGTTGTTTTATGTCAAGGCTAGTGGTGTGGATCTTTTTTTTTTATTTTCTTCTTTATGTTAGTAATGGAATTTATGGTGTGAGCAATAAGATGGTCTGCTTTAATCTGATTATGGGATATGAGTCTGAATACTAAACTTTGCTTGTATTCATGATTTACTGGTTAAAATGCTTTCCGCATTGTGATGGTCAAATTGCTTGCGCTACCCAAAATTTTGATCTGGGACTGGGAGGAGTCCTACTTTATCTGCTAATAAATTATTCTCTGCTTATATTTTTAATAATATGTAAATTATATATATATTGCTTATGCCTCGTTTGTTTTTTTTTTTGGGGTCTACTTTACGACATGATTTGAGCTTTGTTTGGATTAAAAAGAAATTGAATTTTTAAAATTGTTTTGAAAATATTATTAAAAAAAAAGTTTTTAATACTTTAGTAAACAGTCATTTTGTTATAACTTCTTAAACTTAGATTTTGTTTGGGACAATTTATTTATTGCTTTTAAAAGTAATTTTTTTTTTAGTTTTTTTAGTTTAAAGAAGTTGTATTAGGAAGTTGTTTCAGAAAATAATAAGAAAGTTGATTCATATGCAATTTTAGGCTTTGTTTGGGATAGTTTTTTTATTATTTTATGAAGCAATTTTTTAGCATAAAAATTTTTTAAATTTGAAATTTTATAATAGATAGTTGTTTCATAAAATAATAAAAAAATTATCCTAAATAAAGTCTTAGGGTTTGTTTGGGACAATTTTTGTATTGTTGTAAGACCCAAGAATTATGGGTTTGTAAAAGTTTAAGTAAATTAAATTGTTGTAAAATTTAATTTAAAATAATGAGAAATGACTTAAAATTAATATTTTTAAAATTAAATGGTATAAGATTTAAATTATCATAACTTAGTAATTTTTATTGAATGGATGCTATCTTAGGCGGAAAATAGTTAGTATGGGCTCTCCTTATCCCTATTTCATATTTGATATTATCTCGCTAAATCCCCTTTTCTATTTTGTTTCACGCATAGCAAAGAGAGTGTTCAGCATGAATTTTTATTTGGTTCGGTGTCCTGATGTAGCTCTACGTTCGGATGCCAGTAAAATGATGCCACGTGCTCTTACTCTTTACTGCGCGGCCCGAAAACCCGGATCGGACCCGGAATTGTTATGTATTAGCTGATTTGTGCAGACCGGGGTATTGCTCGATATTGTTCGGCAATAACAAGAAATACCATTATGTCAAGGCCAATATCTAGCAATACCCCGATTTTGCTAGGTATTGCTCGGTATTGCTAGGTATTGATCTTGACTGAGCGGTATTTTTCGTTATTGTCAAGCAATACCGAGCAATACCTAGCAATACGTGAACATATAATATCGGGTTTCGGTCCGGGTCAGATCGTCGGGCTGTGCGGTAAAGAATAATAGCACGTGACGACATGTTATTATCCTACGGATGTAGAGCTACGTCCGATGATAATCGTTCGTTCGGCACAGTGCCCACAAATCACTGTTGCTGGTGTCAGAACATTGCAGTGCATAAATTACTATTATCTAGTTCGGCACAGTTTCTGGAGTTCCTGTAGGAGTCGACAAAGTCTCCAATAGACGGCATAATGCCACGGTATTGTAGTAGAGTTCACAGAATTTCCCTATTGCAAGCGGCGGCAGGGAATTTGGAATATTGCCTTGAAGGGAGGATTGGTTTAAAGCAATACAAGAGTTCCGGTTATACAAATATTAACAAGTTTTAGTGATATGATTGAATGACTTTTTTTATATAAACTTTCATTAAGATCTATATGTAATTAATTTAAAAATATGTGATGAATTATAGTTTGAGATAAGTATGCAAACAAATTGAGGAACTAGTGAAAAAAGATTTAGAGAGAAAAATTAAAGGAGGATTCTTTGGATCTATGCAAAGGGGAGGTTATGAGATAAATTGTAATGTTATTATAATTTAATGTTATAGGTAGGTTACTTACAATCGAAGAAGAGAACAAAGTGGAGGAGTTAAAAAGATGAATCTTTGAGGAAGTAAGTAATACATCTATATTCAAATATAGTGGCTTTTAATTATAAGTATGAAGTTTAATTTAGAATGCATTAAAAAAATGTTATTAAATTTATTTAATTTATAGAAAGGATTTTTCATTCAAGTTTCAAAGTATGAACAACCAGATACATAAGTTAATCAGGAAAGTGTAAAATAAGGTTTAGTAAGTTAATCTAAATGTTTTCCTATTTGATGCTATTTTGAAAAGATATCAATTTTTTTGCATATGATATACATTTTAATTATATACCGATTATTATAGAATTAATCATGAATCATGCAACAACTTAAGTATGACTTATGAACACTGAAAATTTTAGTGAATATCAATTTAAAAATAAAGTTTGGCTATAAATGACGTATAACTTATAATTGCATGTGAGACAAAAGGGTTCCCATAGATGAGACTACATTGCAAGTGGAGAAAAAGGGACCCCAAAGAATATAATACATGTATAACATGTAAGGCAAAAGAGACCCCTAAAAGAGGCAAAAGTGATCTTTATGTAATTCAATGGTGATAATATCAGGTTTATCTAGGCTCCATTGAATAAAGTTATTAAAGTATAGTCAAATCTTTTACAAATAAAAATTGGTATTCAATATAAATTTCAAAAGAAGTAAAGACAAATGTTAATTATGATTTTATGATATTTAATAAGGGTAAGTTTAATCAATGATGATTTCAATGTTTTGATTTATTATAAGTATTATATTTTAACTGTTAATTAATTTTCATAACTTATTGAGCCTCATAGCTCACAAGTATTTTTCTTACTGATTGTTGTTAGAGGATAGGAAAAGGAAAAAGTTGAAAAAAACTAAGTGCAAGTATTTTGATTTTATATACTTATTTTTAAATATTTGTGTCAGTCTACATCTGAGATATGTAAACAATTCATTGAGTTTTTATTTTGGTTTTAGTAATGACTTTGTAAGTTCATATTTGAAGTAACTTAGAGTTTAGATGCTTCCATGTATTCAGTAAATGATATGCTCTTAGAATTTTTAAATTTTATAGTGAATGAAATGTTTTTAAATGTTTAATGATGGGAAATTATGTGTTTATGTAAGTGATACTTTATAGTATTGTTAAGAGGTATTGTGGAGTGTTACAAAAAAGTGGTATCATAACAAATATTTAAATTTTTTGAGGATTTAATTTTGGAGGCATAATTTTAGAAGAAAAAGATTGTATATGATGGAATTATTACAAAGCCTAGGAAAGTGTACTATTTCTAAGTTCATAAAAAGTCTAATTTCATTTGAATTATATATAAACATGTTTAATTTCAATATGGCTTATATGGTAGCATATGAAAGTAACTTTTAAATAGGAATACATGATTATATAAATGCATAACTCTTAATGTAATGCATTGCATATATAATGGGTGAAAGAATACCTGAAAGGACTGATGGTTAGTCATCTTAGCCTATTAAGATCTCTAAGGATCCTGAAAAATGTTGCACCAGAAGGAGGAAGTGCACCCGGTGTAGACCATACACCGGTAGGAACTGATGCTGCTAATATAATATCAGGGAAGTTAATGAAAATGCAAATGATGAGTGTGATGATGTAGATGATAGAAAGGATGTAGTCTATGGTGGGATCTACAACACCTGGTGTTCCACCTGTAGTTACCCTAGCCACTCCTACAACTCCTGGTAGTAGTGTAAATGCATAGATAAGCGATCTTGTGGGAACAGAAGTGGATAAATATTTAAAGCTCTTCTAGAGTCTAAAACCTCCATTATTTAAGGGAGGAGTTTATAACATAAGTGCTGAAGACTGGATCATCAGAATAAAGAAAGTTTTGAATAGAATGAGATGTCCTGAGAATTGACGAGTGTCTCTGGAAATCCTTATGTTAGAAAGTGAAGCATATAGGTGGTGGAGGGAACAACAACTGCAAAAATTTAAAGGTAGATTAGAGGAAAAAATTATGTGGGAAGAATTTGAGCAAGTCTTTAGAGAGTAGTATGTTCCTCCATCAGCAAGACAGACAATGCATGAAAGTTTTGTAAACCTTAAGTAGGGAGCAAAGATTGTTATTCAGTATAAAGAAGAATTTACAGCTCTGTCGAGGTATGTTCCACAGCTTATTTGCACCCCTGATGAAAAATGTTATAGATTTTTAAAAGGACTGAGAGATTCATTGAGATAGCTATTGATTCCTTTTTCATATAAAGGAATTTACTCAACTGGTCGAAAGTGCTAGATTGTTAGAGAATGTTATATAGGTGATAAAATATAAATGAGAGACCAAAGGTAGAAAAAGAGAAGGTGATTCTATGAGTGGATCATAAAAAAAAAATAGAAATTTTATCAAAAGCCACAAATTATAGAAAATCTCATCCAAGAAAATGTTTGATGAATTTAGGAAAGTGTTGCTTATGTGGGGAATCAGAACATATCAAGAGAAACTATCCAAAGAATATTCAAGGGGGCAAAGAATTTAGAGGCAGTTAGAGGACAAATCGATCAGTATAGAGGTACTAGGCCACAATTCAATCAACCTACTTTGAAGATAAAAAGAGAAACCTTCGATGAAGCAGTTAGATCATAACCAGCACAAGTATTTATTTTAACTTCTTAAGAGGCCAAAGAATATTTTAAGGTGGTGACATTTATTTTAAATATCTCAAATTTACATGCTAGAGTATTTTTTAATTTTAGTGCTTCTCATTCTTTCATATCTGAGATATTTTGTTAGAAATTGCATGTGAAGCCTACCAATTTTACTCTTGGATTGAGTGTTAGATTACATGCAGGTAATTATTTAAATGCTAGTACATTATGTTCAATTAATTTTATGATAGTTGGTAGAAAGTTCCAAGCAAACTTAATAGTACTTCCATTGGTGGAGTATGAAATAATATTGGAAATGAATTAGTTAAATATTTTGCCACTATGAATGTTGGAAGAAAAAAGTCAGATTTGATTTACTTAGGGAAGAAGTATTTTATTTCCAGAGTGAAAGACGAATAATATCATTCATAATTGCTTATAGTCAGATGCATAAAAATCTAAGAGCGGATGACTTAGTTTTCTTAATAAAGTTAGAAGCATCTAAAGAAAAGGATGATGATATAAATTCTATTCCTATAGTGAATGAATTTGTAGATATTTTCTCAG